AGTTAAAGAAGTATGGGCTGGATGAATGGACTGTAAGGTGGATAGAAAGCTGGCTAGATCGTCGGGCTCAGCGGGTAGTGATCACTGGCTCCATGTCTAGTTGGCAGATGGTATCAAGTGGAGTGCCCCAAGGGTCGGTCCTGGGGCCGGTTTTGTTCAATAGCTTCATTAATGATCTGGAGGATGGTGTGGATTGCACCCTCAGCAAGTTTACAGATGACACTAAACTGGGAGGAGAGGTAGATACGCTGGAGGGTAGGGATAGGATACAGAGGGCCCGAAACAAATTGGAGGATTGGGCCAAAAGAAATCTGATGAGGTTCGACAAGGACAAGTGCAGAGTCCTGCACTTAGGACGGAAGAATCCCATACACCGCTACAGACTAGGGACCGAATGGCTCGGCAGCAGTTCTGCAGAAAAGGACCTAGGGGTGACAGTGGACAAGAAGCTGGATATGAGTCAACAGTGTGTCCTTGTTGCCAAGAAGGCTAACGGTATTTTGGCCTGTATAAGTAGGGGCATTGCCAGCAGATCGAGGGTTGTGATCGCTCCCCTCTATTCAACATTGGTGAGGCCTCATCTGGAGTACTGTGTCCAGTTTTGGGCCCCACACTACAAGAAGGATGTGGAAAAACTGGAAAGAGTCCAGTGAAGGGCAACAAAAATGATTAGGGGTCTGGAGCACATGACTTATCAGAAGAGGCTGAGGGAACTGGGATTGTTTAGTCTGCAGAAGAGAAGAATGAGGGGGGATTTGATAGCTGCTTTCAACTACCTGAAAGGGGGTTCCAAAGAGGATGGATCTAGACTGTTCTCAGTGGTAGCAGATGACAGAACGAGGAGTAATGGTCTCAAGTTGCAGTGGGGGAGGTTTAGGTTGGATATCAGGAAAAACTTTTTCACGAGGAGGGTGGTGAAGCACTGGAATGGGTTACCTAGGGAGGTGGTGGAATCTCCTTCCTTGGAGGTTTTTAAGGTCAGGCTTGACAGAGCCCAGGCTGGGATGATTTAGTTGGGGACTGGTCCTGCTTTGAGCAGGGGGTTGGACTAGATGACGACCTGAGGTCCCTTCCAACCCTGATATTCTATGATTCTATGACTCCTATGTTATATTCTCAACCCTGGAAGGGCAATGGGGTCTAGTGGGTCACAGCAGGGGGGGCTGGGAGCCAGGACACCTGGGCTCTATTCCCAGCTTGGGGAGGGGAATGGGGTCTAGTGGGTGTGTCCTTGTGAAAGAGATTTTCCCCTGCTCTGTATCTCATTTTCGCCCATTTGACCCACCTTTTTGGCCTCTGGAGGGGAAAGCTCCCCAGTCTCTCTCCCAATCTTGCTCTGTCACTGTGGGAATCCCCCACGCTCTTTACCGTTGTCCGCAGCGCTATCCCACCCTGTGATATAACCCCATGGCCAGACTCTGCCGGCCCCTGGCCTTTCTCTGGGGTCCCAGCCCCGCCTCTGACCCTGCTGCCAGGACATGGGGCCCGTAGGTGGGAGGAGGGGGTTGAAATCGTTATCTTGGTACCCGGCTGGGAACGGGCCTTCCGAGCCGCCCCGCTTGGGCCGCAGGTTCAAGGCCGTGTAGCCCTCCTCGTCCTCCATCGTGCCCGAGTGAGAGGAGACGGCGAAGGTGCGGGCAGGGGGTTGGGGGGCTGGGCTGTGAGATTGCACAGGAAGCTGAACCGCTGGGCTGCAGAGTTGTGGTTGGGGGGGCCACGGTCAGAGGCTCTGGCCTGAATTTCCTCTCTCTGCTCTGGCAGATGTTGGCTCTGTCACGCGAAAGCTCCCAGCCAGCCCCGGACGCCCCCCGTCCTCCACTCCCTGAGGGGGATCAGCTGGCCTGACACCAGGGTGAGGGGCGCAGTGTCAAAAATCTGAGCTCTAGGGTCAGAGCCTCAGTAGGTGCCGCTCAGAATCAGTCCCACTGATCGACCCCCCCAGCCCAGGATCGGGCCCAGCATGTGTGAGAGCGAGTCGATTTCCACAGTGCTCGACCCCAGCCCGGGATCGGGCCCAGCGAGTGCCTGAAAACTCGTTATAGCCAGAGGAAAACAGCTGGGGTGAGACCGATCCCCTCTCTGGGCCTACAGTTCCCTGCTGTGCCCCTAGGTGGCAGCCAACCATCGGACAGGGGAGAGCACGGGGTGTGCGGCTCTGGTGTGACCATTTGCCGGGAATCCCAGCACCAAACGCCCGCCCCGCTGGGCCATGATACCTCCCTGTGTCACCAAGCAGGGGGGTGAAATGACCAGGGCCAGACTAGCTCATAGACAGGCTCTGCCCCTCACCCTGGTGTCAGGGCAGCTGATCCCATTCAGGGAGTGGAGGACGGGGGGCGTCCGGGGCTGGCTGGGAGCTATCGCGTGACAGAGCCAACGTCTGCCACAGCAGAGAGAGGAAATTCAGGCCAGAGCGTCTGACCGTGGCCCCATCAACCATTAGTCTGCAGCCCAGCGGCTCAGCTTCCTGTGCGATCTCACAGCCCAGCCCCCCACCCCCTGCCCACGCCTTCATCGTCTCCTCTCACTCGGACACGATGGAGGACGAGGAGGGCTACACGGCATTGAACCTGCGGCCCAAGCCAGGCGGCTTGGGCGGCCCGTCCCCAGCCAGGAACCAAGGTACGATTTCAACCCCATCCTCCCACCTACGGGCTTCATGTCCTGGCAGCAGGGTCAGAGTCGGGGCTGGGACCCCAGAGATAGGCCAGGGGATGGTAGAGTCTGGCCATGGGGTTCTATCACGGGGTGGGACAGAGGTAAAGAGCTTGGGGGATGCACAAAGTGACAGAGCGAGAGTGGGAACGAGACTGGGGAGCTTTTCCCTCTGGAAGCCAAGAAGGTGGGTCAAATGGGGGAAACTGAGATAAAGATCAGGGGAAAAATCTTTCCCAAGGACACACCCATTAGACCCCATTCCCCTCCCTGAGCTGGGAATAAAGCCCAGGTGTCCTGGCCTCCAGCCCCCGATGCTTTAACCCATTAACCCTCGCTCCCTTCCAAGAGTTGGGGCTAGAACCCAGGAGTCCTGGCTCCCAGCCCCACTGTTCCAACCTACTAGACCTCGTTTCCTGCCCATATCTGGTAATAGAAACTAGGGTTTCAGGTGGGGTTTGCAGAGCTTCCAAAACAGTGGTTCTTGCGATTGATGGAGCAGAGCCCTGCTCTCAGAGCAATTGGTGCAGGCTCTCTGCAAACTCAGGCAGTGTTGCTGTATCAATAACACTTGGGGGGTCACATTTTCAATCTTTTCTCCCCTACCATGAGGGCGGAAAACTGCCTTTCTTTTTTAAATGAAAGCCGAGACCCTGGTACAATCATCTGACTCCTGGAGCTGGGGCCTGAGGCCAGGATCTAGAGTAGCCTTAATTCAGCCCGGCTCTGCTTGTGTTTCCTTACAGGTTCCCGTCAGTGTCCTGGCTGGCTTCAGGTCGCTCTAGGGGCTGGGAATCTCATCCTGTCTCTGCTCTTGCTGGCGGTTTGTGGTGAGTCACCAAGGGCTATAGCTTTATCTGTCCGGGTGCGTCAGTTGGCAGCGTGGATGAGACACTGCGGGAGGGGCGGCCAGTGACATTGAGAGGCAGCACATTTAAAACGGATGCTCAGTCACAATGAGCCTGTGGAACTCACTGCCACAGGATCTCACTGGCGCCATGAGCTTAGCAGGGCTCAGTGAAGGATCAGGACACATATAAGAGGAACGAGACCAGCCAGAGGGCCAGGAAGTACCCAAGTGCTTTGGCAGGGGCTATAAACCCTCCTGCTTCAGGGCATCAATGAGCCTCTAAGTGATGGGCTGGAAGGGTCTAAGTTGGGGGACAAGGTATCATTGTCCGTTAGGGGCTGTCTTGCTCCTTGCTCAGAAGTAGCTGGGGCTGTCCAGCCTTGGAGTTGGGCTCCCGGGTTAGATGGGCCCCAGGTCTGATTCAGTCTGGCCATCCCCATGCAGCCTGTTTTGGGGGTCGTTTTAAGGGTGAGAATGGGTGGAAACACGATCTGGGTTTGCAAAGAAGCCCAAGGGATTTAGGCACCTAGTTCCCAGTGATTTTCAATCCCAGACACTTTTTCAGACCGTGTCCCTTTGGGGTTTCTCCCAAGCCCATGGGAGGCAGTGGCAATGGGGCTGAATGAGCTTTGGGGCAGCCCCTCTGTCTCTGCAGGACTCTCCTGGCGCTTTTACCCAGCAACTCCCGTACCATTGACCAGTCGCCCCCACTCCCACCGACGCTGCTTTGCAGTTTCTCACTTGGTGTCCGAGAAGGGACAGACCCCGGCAGCCCCTGGGAGCGACGGAGCCGGGCGCAGAGATACAGCGACACCCCCTGGGAGCAGAGACCCCAGCACGGCAGAATGCAGCGCCCGCCTGCAGCGTTTCCGATCCCAGCTGTGCCCCCCGGCCTGACCCGGCCCAGACCTGGGTTCTAGTCCCACATCTGCCGGGTGACCTTGCACAAGGCACTTTGCCTTTGTGTTCCTATTCCCTCCCCAGCCGATGATTTGCCTTGTCCATTTACGGGGAGATTTTCAGGAGCCCTTTAGGAATTTAAGAGCACCACCTTCACGCTGACGTGAAATACCCTCCCTGTGTGACTGTGGGCAAGTGCTCTGGGCCTCAGTTTCCCCATCTATAAAATGGAGATTGTGCCTCCTTCGTCTAAGTAGATTGCAAGTTCTGTGAGGCAGGGACTGTCTCTCCCTGTGTGTCTGGCAGCGCCTGGCACGACGGGGCCCTGATCTCAGCTGGGGCCGGGACTGTCTCTCCCTGTAGGTCTGTGCAGCGCCCGGCACCACGGGGCCCTGATCTCAGCTGGGGCCGGGACTGTCTCTCTCTGTGTCTGGGCACAGCTGGGCCTCTCGGCTCCACAGTCATAGATATAATACCAGTAAGAGAAGGCTGGTCCGACGGCCTACGACCTATTTGCAGCCTAGAATGTGTCTGTGCTGGGCTGTAAGGAGCCAGCTGGGCTCTGGGCAGAAGATGCCGTTTGCTGCTCTGTCCCTGTTTGTAACCTTGTTTACTTGGGCGGCCGGAGCGACATAGGTGGTTTCTCTTTGTGGTACAGGAGAGGAAGTAAAATGAGGACAGGAGCTGTTTCCACACTAGACTGGGCAGTGAGGGGGCGATTCAACTTCAAAGGTCATCTAAGTCAATGGAAAGTTTTATTAACATTGCACTAGTAACCCAGCTGAGATCAGGGCCCCGTTGTGCGGGGCGCTGCACAGAGCCACAGCGAGAGACAGTCCCTGCCCCAGCTGATATCAGGGCCCCGTTGTGCCAGGCGCTGCACAGACCCACAGGGAGAGACAGTCCCTGCCCTAGCTGAGATCAGGGCCCCGTTGTGCCGGGCGCTGCACGGAGCCACAGGGAGAGACAGTCCCTTCCCCAGCTGAGATCAGGGCCCCGTTGTGCCGGGCGCTGAACAGAGCCACAGCGAGAGACAGTCCCTGCCCCTCCAAGAGCTCAGAATCTCAGTAGACAAGACAGTCAAAGCAAATGAGCTGAATTTACTTGGCCAAGGTCATACGGCAGAGCTAAGTCTGAATCCCGATTTCCTCCTCACGCTGCTTTTCCATTGATCACGCTGGGCACTCGACTGTACCACCGGCTGGGGAGTTGTAAAGGTATTGTTGTAATTTTAAATTTTGAAACATTTCCACTTGCTTCAAAATCTGGGGGCGGGGGGAAATGATCCTAGTGGACCCCCAGCTTTTCATCAGCCATGGGCGTTTCCATACAACTGTCCTCAACACGTAATCATGAGGAAATGTAGCTGGTGGATGCAATGGAGAAGGGACGTCTCCAAAATGTGGCTGGGAATGTTTCCCCCTGAAGGTCGTGTTCCCATCGCCAGGCTGATGTGTCAGACAGAGCTGGCTGTTCGCCACAGGATGGTGGGACAGGGCAGGAGCTCCCAGGCATCCCGAGAGGAAGGCTGGCCACTGGTTTTGGTGCTAATCTGGGACTCAGGAGCTCTGGTTCCTGGTTCTGCCACTGATTCCCTGTGTGACCCTGGGCTGGTCCCTTAAGGCTGGAATTCCACAGGGGTTTAGGTACCTAACACTGCAGCTAGGTGCCTAAAAATGACCCACTAGCTGCCTAACGCCTATTGAAGTCAATGGGAATTAGGTTCCTAAAGCCCAAGTTCTCAAATGTATTTAGGTGCCCAACAGCCAAGGAAGTTAGGTGCTTAAATCCTGTTGAGGATCTGGGCCTAGGTTCTTCTGAAAACCCCACTCGGGGCCTCTCTGCAGCTTTAAGTGCCTAAACCCCTTGAATAGCAGGAGTTAACAGCCCTGCGCCCTGCCTCACAGGGTGGGGTTGGGAGACGAAATGTAGCAAAGACTCTGAGGTGTTCTGATACTGCTTTGATGGGGGCTGGATAACTCAGATGCAAAGATGAGCTGGGTTTTCAAAGAGGCTCAAGGGGTTTAGGCACCCAACTCCCACTGATTTTCAATCCCAAGCCACTCTTTTGGACTGTGGCCCTTTGGGGCTGTTCTGAAGCCCATGGGAGTCGATGAAGGTGGGGCTGAGTGGGCTTTGGGCCAGGCCCTGTGTCTCAGCCGGTGCTTTTCCCCAGCAACTCCCCATCACATTGACCC